GCCATATTGTTCTGGCCTCAGAAAATGCCTTTTGATAAAGCCATAACTTTAACTTGTTTTGGCAAGAATCAGTATTCCTTTGTTTCATGTCCTGTATGTCCATTTTGTCCTGTTGATTCGACGATACTTTGTTGTCCAGTGGCTAACTTTTGCCACAATGAAAGTTAACTCCATATGCAGTTTCTTCAATGTCCATATTTTCTCTGAAGTAGATTGGTACTGCCAGGAGCCGACATGTCTCATAGTTATAACAAAAAAGAAAATTTTTCTAAGTTATTAAAACAATTTAAATGCCATATTCTATAGATCTCTGAAGGGTTTGAAGATGACCTGTCTATCTAAAATATATCTGCTCAATTTTTAAAACATACCTAATATGACTATAAGTTATATTATAATGTCTAACTACTTACTTTCATTTCTTTTTATCCTAATAGTTGGTAATAATAACATCCAAGGATCAGAAAATTGCATTATTTGTTAAATGAATGGTATAAATACAATTAGAAATATACATATAGCATTTTCTAACAATATCAATTTCAATATATATAATTTGTATACAATATAAAACAATCCAATCCAATGTAAAGTATTTAAAACTAGTAATTGTCTTTTTCTTTTTCTTCTTCTTTTTTAAACAAGAACCTTAAATCTAATCTCCTTTGCTTAGCCCTTTTCCTAACCCTTGACAACAACTTGTAACCAACCCCCCTAAACAATGAAAATTATCGCAGACTCAAAACCCATTAAAAGACCAAAAACCACCCGCCTCACACCTCTTTGGGAATGTGGGTGTCGTATTCTTAAAATTGCTTCCTGCTGGGTATGGGCGAAATTATCTTTATCCTGAAAGAAAAATTTTAGGTTAATTGTCAAATTCTAGGAAAGGTAACTATATCCTTCATTATCCAGTCTGTGCATAATGCCAAAGTTCAGGGTTTATCTCAAGTCCTTATTCAAGTAGTCTTTGAGACTGGATCATCTCAGCTAGCCATCTCAAAATTGCTCTGAGCACTTTGTAGTCCAAAGCTGATCTGTAGATGATGTTTGTCAGCTTAATGATATTATTATTGTCCACGTGGAATTGTTGTTGTTGTGGGGCCCCATCTTCTTCCTGGAGACTTCAGTTGATGTTAGGCCTGGCCGTGATTTCCTGCAGAAAACTGATAAGAGACTCGAACACAAAGACATATATAAGCAGCTAATTGAAGCCTTTTTTCTAGAATTAGTTAGTACTCTATATGACCATTCATATCTTAACAAAGTTTAAAATGTATATATCTGTATGTATATATATATATATATATATATATAAATCTTGTAAATTTTGATATAAAGTTCATACTTTAAGAAAAGTTTAAAGAATCAGAATAGAATCAAAGAGTTGAGATTAGTAATAGAATAGTCCCTTAATTAATTTGGCTTTTCTCCTGTCCCATAGCAGAAGATGGCTCTTTTCTTCTGGCATGATACAGGGAGTTTGCATTTTCCTTTTAACAACATGCTTGAGTTTAAAGGAGAGAGTCATTCTCCAACTCCAAAGTCAGCTTTAAATTTTAATTGAACTGGGACTATTAGAAGACCAATAGTGTTAGATTTCTTTAGAGAAGAGCAGAAACAAACATTTAGGAAGACTTATAAAATTTTATAGATGATATACCAATAGGCCATTTCACTCTGTTTCCTGAGATAGATGATTTGTCCCTTTTCTTCAGTTGGCTCGTTTGTCCAGTGTTCTTCAGATTCCTTAACCTTCATTCTCCTAAAAGACAAAAACAAAAACCTTTCCCCAAGACTAATTTTGGGGAGGTTCCTTTTTGGCAAGTTATTATCTGATTAAATGAAAAGGCATGTGTTACTGGTATAAGTTAGTTTAAATTGGATGTTCCTGCTGGTTGATGAACTATCACCTCCTCTAATTAAGAGGTCTCTCTTGTTCAAATTGAACCTTTATTAATTGTGATGGTACCCACAGCTTATCTTCTCCTGTAGAAACAAAAGCAAAACCTCGTCCCCAACATAACACATATCCTGGTTTCCATTCTGAGGTCAGCACATCCTTAAAGTATATAGGCTGATTTAATTCTGTAGTTTTTTCTATTTTCCAATGTCTCTCTGCAGCTGTTGTTCCTTTCTCATTGGCACTGAGAAAATTCAAAATTAATAGAACATTTTGCAGTCTATTTCTGGGGGTTTGTGTTACCCCTTTCTGTTTATTTAGCATATCCTTTAGAGTTCTGTTTGATCTTTCTATAACTGCTTGACCTGTGGGATTATGTGGTATACCTGTAAAATGTTTTATATTGTAATGAGCAAAAAACTGTTTCATTTTAACAGAGACATATGATGGAGCATTGTCAGTTTTGATTTGTGTGGGTATACCCATGATGGCCATAACTTCTAGCAAATGAGTGATTACAGAATCAGCTTTTTCAGAACTCAAAGCAGTTGCCCATTGAAATCCTGAATAAGTATCGATGGTATGGTGTACATATTTCAATTTTCCAAATTCTGCAAAGTGAATCACATCCATCTGCCAGATTTCATTCCTCTGAGTACCCTTTGGGTTACATCCTGCTGGTAATGGCATTTGATTGTAGAAGGAACAAGTAGGACATTTCTTTACTATTTCTTTGGCTTGTTGCCAGGTTATGGAAAAATCCTTTTTTAAACTTTTACTATTGACATGATGTTCTTTATGAAATTCTGAGGCCTCCAGCACATTTCCTATCAATAATTCATCAATTTCATCATTGCCTTGTGATAGAGGGCCTTGCAGACCAGTATGGGATCGAATGTGAGTTATATATAAAGGATGACTCCTTTTCCTGATTGTATCTTGTGATTGAATAAATAGTGAAGTTAATTCTGAAGCATCAGGGATAAATTCTGCAGTCTCAATATGTAATACTACTCTTTCAGCATACTGAGAGTCAGTTACTATGTTGAGAGGTTCTGAAAAATCCATTAATACCAACAGAATAACATACAATTCTGATTTTTGAACTGAATTATAAGGACTTTGAACCACTTTACTTAAATTTTCTGATTTGTAACCTGCCTTTCCTTGTTTGTTGGCATCTGTATAAAATGTACGAACTCCAGATATGGGTTTTTCCCATACAATTTGAGGCAAGATCCAATCAGCTCTCTTTATAAGATCAATTCTATCGCTTTTGGGATATTTGCTGTTAATTTCTCCCAAAAAATTACTGCAAGCTCTTTGCCAAGGTTCACTTTCTGTCCATAATTTCTCAATGTCCTCCTTAGTTAAAGGTACAACAATTTCTGCTGGGTCTATTCCTACTAATTGACGAAGTCTCAATTTTCCTTTCCAAATCAAGTCAGACATTTTTTCCACATAAGTTTTTAATTTTTTTTCAGTTTATCTGGTAAAAATATCCATTCCAATATAATATTTTCCCTCTGCATTAATATTCCTATAGGAGAATGCCTAGAAGGTAAAATAACCAAAATGCAATCCAGCTTTGGATCAATACAATCCACGTGCCCTTCATGTACTTTCTTTTCTACCAAGGCCACGTTGGGTGCCAGATGTAGCATGAATCTTAAAAGTTCTTATTAATAAAATCAAATTTGAGCCAGGTATTGGGGTGAACTGGAAGATGAGAGAACCAGAAAAAGCCACAGCCACCTCACTTCACTGGATCCTCAGCTGGTCTTGTTTCCTCAGACTGGAGGCCTCTGAGTCCTCATCCAGAATGGGTCTCAGCTGAACTGTGCTGCTCCAAAGCCTGACAGCTTAACCAGCCAAATGCTTAACGAGCCAAATGCTGCTAGTTTCTGGTCCTCATGCCTTATATACCTTTCTGCTTTCTACCACCTGAGATTAAAGGCTCGCTTCCTGGGATTAAAGGCGTGTGTCACCATGCCTGGCCGTTTCCAATGTGGCCTTGAACTCACAGAGATCCAGAGGGATTTCTACCTCTGGAGTGCTAGGATTAAAGGCGTGTGCTACCACTGCCTATCCTCTATGTTTAATATTGTGGCTGTTCTGTGTCTGACCCCAGATAAGTTTATTAGGGTGCACAATATTTTGGGGAACACAATACCACCACATATCCCCATTAGCTCCTGGCTCCTTGCAGTTTGCACCTTGACATAAACAGCTCACAACATGATTCTTTCCTTCCTTCCAGATCTGAAGGATCATGAGTCATATCAGACATACTTAGTAATCTCAGTTTTCATTAATACAGAGGCACCTGCTTAAAAAGCTTCGTATCTATAAAAATCCACTCTTCCCACATAATATAATATTCCCAGAAAGGTATCCTACTCATAGGTTCTGCCCCATTATTGAGGATGGAACAGGATCACTGGATCACCAGTGGTCCCTGTTGGGAATTACCAGATGTAGATTCTATTGAAATGATGCCAAGTGCATGGAAGTTCACTGGCTTTTCTATGGAGTCTTCTCTTTAGTGACAGATAACTCTGAGAAACTGCATTAGTTTCCTGGGGCTTCTGTAACAAAATACTACAAAATTGGTGGCTTAACAAAAACAGTTGATTATTATTTAACAATTTTGCAAGTCAGAAGTCCAAACTAAAGTTCCTTATAGGTCTATGGTTTTCCAAAAGTCAAGAAAAGACACCTTCATTGTTCCTTTCTGTGTTTTTGCTTGTTAGTGCCATCAATCCTTGATATTCCTTGTTTCTTGATGGATCTGTCATTCTAAGCTCTATCTGTATCTGCTCATGTTAGTCTCACTGTGTATCTGTGTGTCCAAATATCCCTCTCATAAAGGACATCAGAATAAGTCCCAACCTAATTTTAACTTAAGTTTGCCTGTAAAGGTCCTGTTTTCTACCAGGTCACATTTACAGGCACTGAAGGTTTGTACTTGAATGAGGGTTTTGCATCCCACCAAGAAGACCATACCAAAATGCATTTCTTCTTTCTCCATATCAGTGGGGTTGGGAAAGCTCAGCTTCCATCCCTTCACTCATTGGCTTTTCTCCACATTTCTCAGGTATCACGTCTGGACTAAAGGCCATGCACCCACAAACTTTGCCAAGTGGCGGACTGCCACCATGCCTTACCAGGTTGAGTGGGAGGCTGATTTTGAGCCGTATGTTGTTGTGAGACGAGACTGCCCTGAGTACGATCGGAGATTTGTGGGCTTTGGCTGGAACAAAGTGGCTCACATCATGGAATTGGATGCACAAGTAAGAACAGAACACCTGACTGGTACTGTGTGGGGAAGAAGATACAGATATTAGAACTGAAAGAGAACTTTAGAGATAAGAAGATTAAAAAGGACCTTCAGAGGAACAGAATGTGTTTGGAGACTTAGAATGAGAACATGAATCTGATTTTCTAGGCTTTCAACCTCAAACTTTTGTTCTTCCTTCTCCCTGTGCATGAGAATTGGGTTCCTAGCCAGGATTAGGCAAATGTGAGTCTTCTATAATGTATCACCTTACCCCTTTTATCCAGTGAGGAAGACAAGCACAGGATAACTAGTCATGACTTGGCCTCCAAATTATATATATTGTGTCACTGTAAATAGCACAAAACCTGCCACTAAAATGTGGCTAATTATTTCACTCTTTAGTTTAAACAGCAGTGATTTTTACCTGTGGTCAGTCTGAAAGCCTTCATTCATTCACACAATACTTAACAAATATATACTTCAGAGGAGGTCTGCAGAATTTTAATAGGTGAAGCCTGAGTACTGCACACTTTCTGCAAAGGACCAAATGGTGTGTGGAGCTTGTGGGACCTTCAAGTCTCCCTTCCACCTACTCAGCTCAGAAACTGTTATTCCTCCATAGATGGCCTCTAAACAAATGTGCATGGCTGGGTTTCAGCACAGCTTCATGTATACAACTATGCAGCAAACCAGACAGGCTGTAGTTTGTCAACCCTCGTGTTGAATAAAGAGATGCAAAGCTGCTCTGGTTAAATTAGGAAGATACCTGGGTACCCTGAACCCCACTCTTCATACACTTTTCAGGGCTCCTCCTTTTGGTCACAGTGTAAATATTTCTCAGCAAGAGTGCCTCAAAATCAGGGAACATTAAGTTACATTAGATGTTCAGTAATGACTATCCATAAGACACATGTTCCATTGAGTCTAAGCCATGCCACATGACTGAGAACTACTGCTGTGAGTAGAAGGTTGTGGAATAGTGTCCATGTTGAACCAAACAAAATATGATATCCATCTATTGGTACCCATGTCCTGTATTTGCCTGTAGCATTCATCAGACACTATTTTACCCATTCCAATGACTTAAAAAAGTAAAACACTCACAGCTGACAAGTCACAGAGACCCAGCTGTAGGGGCTTGCAGGAGAATTAGCCCACTTTGCCCCTGTGTGAAATGCCTCAGGTATCTGGGCTCTGTGGCCTTGCATTTTCTTCTGATTTTTCTCACTTAACTGTCAGTTGCCATCCTCTGCATGACACATATGCCTTTCCTGTCCTTGGTTTGCCTTGCTGAGTTTATTCTTGTCTGCTCTGTGCTAAGTAAATAGATGACATGAATCCAAAATTGGAGAGAAGATATGGATTGTGCATGTGCTAGGTTCTGTCTGAGTTACATGTCCTAAATTTGTGTCCCTTGTTTGGGCTGTTCAGAGGCATTGTGTATTTGGCTGTCTCCTACCATGTAAAGCATAGTCTATGATGCTATCACTTACAAGACATTGGGGAAAGTTTTATCCTTGTTAAGCTTCAATACAGCTAAACACTTTGGTCTTTTATGTGGATATTTTTTTATTTAATTATCTGTCTATTTAAGACAGGATCTTACACTGTGGCTTAGGCTGGTCTGGAACTTGCTATGAAAACCAGGTTGGCCTGAAAATCCATGGCAGTCTTCTCATGTAGGCTTCCCAAGTACTGGATACACACATGAGCCACCACACTGAGCTTAAACATGTCCTCAGATTTCAGTTCATTGGCCAAGAGATTATTGCATGGTAGCATCATTCCAGATTGACTGTGGGGTGTCTGGAGAACCTCTAGGGCAGGCATGTATTCTCTTCCCCTTTTTCCATTAAGTATGAGTTTCACCCTTATAATCATCCTTCAAGATAGATTTTCTCACTCGCACTTTGTAGATGAGCAAACCAAAATTCAGATGACTCCTATATTTTGTACAAGTTTGTGGACATAATCTTGAAACAAGCTACTCTGGAGCTATTGTGCCCCCTCCTAGTGTTATTCTCCAAACCCTTTATTCAGAGTCATACATGACCCAAGGCTCTTGCAAGATCTCTCATTACCCTTGTCTTCCTCCTTCCAGGAGTATGAGTTCACCGTGTTGCCCAATGCCTACATGATCCACATGCCCCATGCCCCCAGTTTCGACATCACTAAGTTCCGTTCCAACAAGCAATACCGCATCTGTCTCAAAACCCTGAAGGAAGAGTTTCAACAGGACATGTCCCGACGCTATGGCTTTGCTGCCCTGAAATATCTCACGGCTGAGAACAACAGCTAGCACTTTGAAGGCCACTACTAGGGAGAGACTTGCTACAGGGGAAGAACTGCTTGCTGCCTGGAGCCCAGCCTTTGAAGACAAAATCCATCACTGCTTTTCGTTGGTTTGTTTCCCTTTGTCTCTTTGGCCCCACAAAGCTGCTCTTGTCTGAGATCTTGGACAGGGACCCAGTCCACCACCATGAGGTGCTTCCAGAATGGGACACAGAAGGGTGGAAGCAAATGAAGAGTTAACAAATTACCACAAAGCCACAGACCAAGTCAGGGTTTCTGGATGCTCTCCCCGCTTTTTAATAATTATGGTTCAAATCCTAGCTCTGGAAAAAGAACAGGACATGGGTGCTGTTCTAGGGGTTAATCACTCCAAGAAATGAGAGCAAGCTATTTCTTCGTAGGAAGAGAATTTTATTTCTCCTGCCACCTAGCTAGGTACCCAAGTGGAGAGCAATCCAAGGACCCAAACAACCATCTGGAGACCTGCATGGGGACATCACATATGCAGGGACCTGGAAGTAGGGTGAATTGGTTCTTTATTCTCAAAGTCTTTCTTGTTTTATTTTGAGTTGTTTGAATTTGGGGGATTTTATTCATTTTGATCTAGGATTCCAAACTTAAAAAAATATCTAATCCTTAAAGCTCTAAGAGAAAAATCAGCTCCCTCAGCCAACATCCCTCAGTCAGCAGTGGCCCAGCAAAGATGAGCATCCTCAGAGAATGTTCATATATGGGAGCTTCCTTCAGGATGAACACTGAGACCTCCTGATACTGAGTTCCCACTCTCCAGATCCAGGACTATGACAGAGACTATGGAAATATAAGGCCAAACACTGTATGCAAGTCACATTTTCTATGGACTGACCAAGTCACAAGGAAAGGGTTTCAAGGAACTACTTCAGTACTCACAAAAGCTATGATCCCGCTCTCAGGCCTTTAGAAGAACTTGAACAGTTCACAGAAGCCCAATCTGAAGACTCAAGTGACCACATGGAAGCCACTAGAAGAAAGGGGTCAGGCACCTCCCTGTTGGAAACAGGGTAGTTGGTGACCTTAGTTTCCCCTCAGGACTTGTTCTAGGGTTGGTAAGCACCTCTTCATTTTGCAGATGGAGAAAACACTGAACTTTTTACACATTTTCTTTATTCTTCACTATTAATGTTGTGTTTACATTGATGAGAACAAGAGTTAATGGCCTACCCACTGCTGGGCTGTTTGTATTGAGTTGCCATGTGAACAGCGAAAGCTGCATTCAATAAACGAAAGTACAGACTGTTTCTTCCTCATCTCCCTCCCACTCTTCTAAGAAACCACATGACACACTTGGTCTAGAGGGCAAAGTCAATTCCATGCACAGCACCTCACACTCTCTGTTATTCCATCTCATCTTTCTCATTGTTTGAAATGTCACCTTTTTTTCCCCCTGTTCAACGTTAGATCTCACTTTCTCCTCTAACCCTCAACTCATTTTCAAAAGTTCTGTTTTACATCTGTCTCACCACTATAGCCAGGTATTTTTATTCTAAGTATGCAAATTGTGGGGAGCAATAGCAAATTGAATATACTGTCCTTAGGGCTCTCTTTTCCTGTGGAGCCCCACAATAGTCCAAACGATGAGACCACTGTGTTTAGTGTGTTCAATCATGTTTCCCCTAGATTACTACAAAATGAAGAAAATTGTAATTAGAATTAATTGTCACACAGATACAGATAGTTTGTGTCTTTAGGCTCTTGTTACTGTGACAAAATATCTGACAGTAGGGTTTATTTTGGTTCAGAGTTTGAGAATCCAGCTCATCATGGTAGGGAAGGCATGGCAGCAGGAACTGGAAGCCACTGATCACATTGTGCCTGTAGTCAGGAAGCAAAGGAAAATGAGCGTCAGCACTCAACTTGCTTTCTCCTTTTTCTTCAGTCCGGGACTCCATCCAATGGGATGATGCTGCCCACACTTAGGGTGGGACTTCTCATTTCAGTTAACTTAATCTCGATAATCTCTCTCAGACATGTGTAGAGGTTTGTCTCCTGGGTGATTCTCCAAGTTGATTCTAGATCCTATCAAGTTGACAATATTAACTACCATATTATACATATTATATTATATATATGTATGTATAATGCATATATATAGGAAGCATCTGCATATATATAGCATATATGCAGGATTTATCATTTTCAAAGTAATCCATGAACACCATAAAAAGAAAATATGACAGAAAGATGTTCAAAGCCATGTTAAGTTCAGTTTATTCAGTAATGATGCTACAGCCAGCTACCACAGTCTCACAGAATTTACTGTGTCCATCTCTCTCCAATTTCCATGTTCAGTGATCTCCCCCTGAGCCCCATGATTGACATAAATATTTACCATTAGCACTCACTGCCTTTTCCCTTCTCTCCAACACACATGCGTGTATACACACACCCAGAGTTACACATAAATTCTGCTGCTTTCCCCCAGATTAGCAACTACAAATAGATTGATTTGCACTAATCATTTTCAGCTACTTGAGCCAAGCTGAACATTAGTTGGTAGCACTGTTTCTGAACATTAAATATCAAATTTTAATTCCCTAAAGCTTTTCTTTAAACATTTATCCTGGCACAAGAATCAGGCGCAGACACCTTGTTTTCATTTGCATGCTTATAGGAATAACCAATGACTATATAATTTGCTAGCCAAGCAGGGTCACTCCTGAGAATGAAAGAAGATACAAATTACTTTGATGAAACTGCATATACACAGAATCTATTGAAGCCAGAAGCTGACACTCCATACCATCATGAGAAACAGTATTTCCTCAAATATGACTGTCTGACACTCTCATCTAGTACCATTTAAAAATAGAACTCAAAAGTTATCTAACTCAACCAAATTCAACCCAAAAGTTGGCAGCTAGTTGAAGTTGATGTATGTGGAACCAATAGCATGAGTCTCCAGCAGGTACCTCAGGAGGTGCCACTTGGTGCTAGCACAGGCCCATATGTGGGGAACATAGCCATTTGAGTCAAGGTAATTGCCAGGGATGGTGATTCCTTTGTATCAGCTTCCTGGGATCAAACAAACTTCGGAATGGGTCATGCTGATGTCATGCCAGTACTGTCTTGGCTTTCATTTGATAGGAAGTGCAGGTTCTCTCATTACCTCCATAATGCTCAGTGTGCAGGAGAATTGCTTTTAAATAATAAGCCACTGTGTGCAAGAGCCTTTAGCATATATTAGCTCATTGAGCTATTGGAGCAAAGCCTCAAAGTGGGCATTGCTGATTATCAGTGAGGAGACAGTGTACTCAAATAACTTCCCCTCAATTCCCAGGATCCAGATATCACAAAGCCAGATTTGAAAATCAATCCTACCTATTTAATCCAAAACCACGTAACCTACAATACTGCTCTTGCCTCCCTCAATAAGAAGCAGCAAAATAAATATGAACTGGGAAAAGGGGGGTTGAGATTTGAATCTGTTAGGGAAAATTATTAACCTTCCTCCTTCAATATTCATCCAGTAACACAAAGCCTGAACAGCAAACACTCCACCATTCTCCAAAGCTAGATATACCCATGGACCTCCTAAAATTCATGTGAACTCGACATGGTCAGTCTGATCATATGCAAACAACTGGGTTCAACCTTAGGGGACAGAAACTGACTGTGAATGCTGAGCAACCCAGGTCAAAGTGTGGAAGTTTAAGTTCCCCTTTGAGCCCCAACCCAGCAAGCCACTTCAAAGTAATGTCGGTAAATATGTTGAGCTGACTTATAAAGCATATATTGATTGAGGTGACAAATAGATTCTTAGCACTCTATGTGAAATGACAGATGCTGGAGTCCCACAAAGGTTTCCCAGTGAGATCTGAGCTTCCTTTACCCATTAGAGCTGCATTAGAGGATTGCTTGACCATGTTTATGGTTTCTAGGTGATTGGAAGGGTCTACACTTGGTTAAGCTATGGGGAGGTCTTGTGCTCCACCCCTTGGCATTCCTATAAATAGCCCTTTAGAAAAGACAGAAGGGGCCAGTGGATAAGGATCCAGGCCCTCCTTAGCTGTCCTGTGTTTTTGTCTGTCTCTATCCTTTTATCTAAATATTTCTCACCTTTCCCTCCTCAAGACTATCCTGGGGAAAAAGTGGGAGCAGGTCTCCCAGAACTGCGTTAATACTTTTCCTCTCAAAGATGCTTCTGTCTGAGTTAAGGCTGTTTCTTGTTACCAGGCCTTTGGGGAGTTCTATATTGTTAGAGAAACATGATAAAAGTTTCCTCCCAGGTGGAGTCTCTGCACACTACTAATGAAGATGGTAAGACCCATGTTATTGTCTCCAAACTTCTCCAGTAGTTGACACTGCTGGATCTTGACAGCCATGCTATATTATGATCCCTTTTACTTAGCTGGTAGAGATATATCTTAGAAATTTTACATGTTTTTCCCAAGATCCCATAGAAAATAATGACTACCTTGGGATTAGGACAAAATCTGACTGGTTTCAAAAACCCCTGTTTTTGCACTAATACATACTATGACCCTTTCGTGTGATGTTGCAGATAGCCTTTGGGTTTCCATGGTCACACCTGCATGTAGTTCATGGTGACATGCTTTGTTCTTGTTACTTGGTAATCTTAAGATTCCATTTTTTCAGTTTAATGCCACTAATATTTATTAAATTTCACAATTATATTGAGAATCTTGGAGGTTCCAGGAACACAGGATCTGATGTTGGAGATATCATGGGCTTTGTTTTCATTCACTAAACAAAAACCATTCTCGGTAAGCAATTTTTTTTTGTTTCTAAGAATGACTGATGGTTTCTGAAAGGAGGTAATGGGCTTCTGATTGTGGATTTGGTCATTGATTTGTTCTAACATATTCAGATGGTCTCGATAGGCACCATAATTTCCAAGGTAAAAGAATGCCATCAGTTCTAGGAAAGAATTTCCCCATAGGAAAGCAACTAATTTAGTTGCTTTACTACCAGACAATGACAGTGGTTGTTGAAGTGCTTCATGTGTGGGGGTGGATGTTTATTGAATTCTAAGTTTTTCATGGAGCTGCTTCACATGGACACTACACTGAATAGCCTAGGCAATGGTAAGTCTGGGGTTGTGAAGCAGGGGAGATCAAGTAAGCTGAGCAACAGACATGTTTTTATCATATCTACATTAAAAACATAAGGCGGGAATTATCTCCATTGTAAAGGTAAGGAAACAAATGCTCAGAGAGTCTAATTAAGAGCTCTGACAATCAACCCCCAACCTCTATGTCTCCCAGGTCCATTCTTTTGATTGTTCAATTTCCTAGAGATTCAGATAAACACAAGATTATAAAATCTTAATAAGTAGAATAGGCCTAGCCATTGGGAATTGATCTTGTCTTTCACCCCCACTAGTATTCGTTAAACCTTCCTGTATGTAGGAATCATATTGAGGATCTCATAATCATCATATTTATTCAATAAACCCCAAGGGCCTGTATTTCAACAACCCTATGCAATGCTGAGGCTGCTGGTACATGTGCTCTCTTCAGGCCTTTGACAATAAGCTTGTTTCCAAACATTTGTGGAACTCTACTATGAGTGCTGGCATTTACCAGATGCTACAGCAAACCTCCATGTAAGCAAGTTGTCTTAGTCAGTGTTCTATTGCTGTGAAGAGACACCATGACCATGGTAAAGGAAAGCATTTAATTAGGACTTGTTCACAGTTTCAGAGGCTTAGTCCACTGTCATCATGGTGGGAAGTATGGTGGCACACAGGCAGAAGTGGTGATGGAGAAGTAACTGAGAGTTCTATATCTGGCTCCACAAGAAGCAGGAAGAGAGAGTGACTCTGGGCCTGGCTTGGGCTTCTGAAACCTAAAAGCCACCCCCCAATGACATACTTCTTCCAACAAGACCACACCTAATCCTTTCAAATAGTGCCACTCCCTATGAGCTTTTGAGAGCCATTTTTATTCAAACTACCACACAGGCGATTGGTCATTTATTTTTAAAGATAGGTACTGGGGTTTGGCAACTGGGCAAGCTGGTAAAAATTCCAATATGGAAAAAGAAGTATGAGTATTACATAACCCCTACCATCAAGGAGCCTCAGTACCACAGGGAAGACAAATGAGTAGGTAAGTAGCAAAATACGAATGATGTTGGGAAGCCTGGGGTGAGATGGGATTTGGGGAAGAGGTACTCACCCCAGCCTGGAGATCATGGAAGGCTTCTGAGACAATATCTATCTTGAAGAAAAAGATTTTCCTGACACTTGATAAGATAATACAGAACACTTTAGTTA